ACTCTCTTTTTCTCTGTCTGTCCATCTCTCTCTGTCTCTTTCTCTCTCTTTTTCTCTCTCTCTGTCTCTCTTTCTCACTCTTTCTCTCTCACTGTCTCTCTCTTTCTCTCTGTCTGTCTCTCTCTGTCTCTTTCTCACTCTTTCTCTCTCTCTCTCTCTGTATGTGTCTTTCTTTCTCACTCTCTCTCTCTTTCTCTCTGTCTGTCTTTCTCTCTCTTTCTCTCTGTCTCTCTCTCTCCTTCTGTTTATCTCCATCTCTCTGTCTGTCTGTCTGTCTCTCTCTCTCTCTCCTTCTGTTTCTCTCTATCTCCATCTCTCTGTCTGTCTGTCTTTCTTTCTCTCTCTCTCTCTCTCTCTTTCTCTCTGTCTGTCTCTCTCTCTCTCTCTCTCTCTCAATCCAGAGCTCCACCCTAGAAGCCAAACAGGTGCAACCCAAACCTGATCTTCCCACTTCATGGGCCCCTCCCTAGTGTGGACTTTAGCACTTCTGGGGCCTGGAGAGCTGCCCAAAACTCCCTCTTTCTCTCTCTCCAGTTGCGAGATCCCGGCCAATTTTCTTCCATGCACTTCCTCCTCGTCCACCTGGCCCAACCTGTCAGAGAGGCTCACTGGCAGGGAGAGAGCTGGACAGCTTGCAAGGAGCTGAAGCGGCACACCTGAGGCAGGTAAGGGCCGCTGGGTCTGTTCTCTCTGAGTCGGCTGTGTGTGTGTGTGTGTGTGTGTATGGGAAGGTGCTGCAAGAGAGGAGAGGGGCTTGTAAGGGTCCTTCGCCCCCATTTCCGGGGTGGCTGGCAGGGTGCGGCAGGGATGGATTTGACCCCAGAACATCAATCCAAGCCAGGATAAAAGTCCCAGGACCAGCCTGAGATAACTGACAACACTAATGTTGGTTTGGCGCAATTGTCTTGCTTCAATGGGTAGCTTAGAGCAGAGTTTCTCAGCTTCGTCCACTTAAGGATGGGTGGACTTCAACTCCCAGAATTCCCCAGCCAGCCATGATATCACTTTGGCTTGTTTGGCTGAGGAATTCTGGGAGTTGAAGTCCACCCATCTTCAAGCTGCCAACGCCAACAAACATGTTGAGTGTTTAGAATAGAATAGAATAAAGATTGGAATGAAGAATAGAGTGGAGTGGAGTGGAGTGGAGTGGAGTGGAATGGAATAGAATAGAATAGAATAGAATAGAATAGAATAGAATAGAATAGAATAGAATAGAATAGAATAGAATAGAATAGAATAGAATAGAATAGTGGAATGGAATAGAAAAGAAAATGGAATGGAATACAATATAGAATAGAATAGAATAGAATAGAATAGAATAGAATAGAATAGAATAGAATAGAATAGAATAGGGAATGGAATGGAATAGAATAGAATAGAATAGAATAGGGAATGGAATGGAATGGAATGGAATGGAATAGAATAGAAAAGAAAATGGAATGGAATAGAATAGGGAATGCAATAGAATATAGAATAGAATAGAATAGAATAGAATAGAATAGAATAGAGGAATGAAGAACAAAACAGAATAGAATAACAGAATTGGAAGGGACCCTGGAGGTCTTCTAGTCCAGCCCTGTGTTCAAGCAGGTAACCCTGTACCATTTCAGACAAATGGCTCTCCAATCACTTCTTAAAAACCTCCATTGTTGGAGCATCCAGGACTCCTGGAGGAAGCTGTTCCACCGGTTCTGTCAGGAAATTCCTCCTTAATTCCAGATTGCTTATCTCCTTGATGAGTTTCCATCCGTCGTTTCTTGTCCTGCCTTCTGGTGCTTTGGAGACTAGCTTGACTCCCTCTTCTTTGGGGCAGCCCCTGAGATATTGCAACACTGCTCTCCTGTCTCCCCTGGTCCTTCTCTTCCCTAGACTAGCCAGGCCCAGTTCCTGCAACCGTCCGTCGTATGTTTGAGCCTCCAGTCCCCTCATCCTCCTGGTTGCTCTTCTCTGCACTTTTTCTAGAGTCTCAACCTCTTTATTTACGTCGTGGCGACCAAACCTGGACGCGAATATTCCCGGTGTGGCCTTATTACCAAGGCCTTGTAAAGCGGCAGTAACACTTCACGTGACCTCGATTCTCTCCCTCTGTCGATGCAGCCCAGAAGTGTGACCAACTCTTGGGTGGCACTTTGGCTCACGTGAGAGTGTAAACACAGGAAACCATTCATTCACACCCAAGCCGCGTGACAAGGCGGTTGTTGGCTAACACCCCCGCAATCCCGATTTCCTAGTTACCTTGTGAATCCAAACTGCTGGGTAACTACATTATGGGCTGGGAGTTGAGATTAACTCTGTCTGGAGGGCACCGCCTTTAGAAAAAAGAAAAAAAACACTTCTGAGCAAATCGGGCTGCACAATCACACATGACCACAAAAAAATAAGCCCCTGAAGGCAGGAGAAGAAGCAACGGATGGAAACACATCAAGAAGAGAAGCGACCTAGAACTTAGCGGAAACTTCCTGACCGTGAGAGCAATTAAACAGTGGAACAGAAGTTGTGAGTGCTCCACCACTGGAAGTTTTCAAGAAGAGACTGGGCTTTGCCTGAAATGGGATAGGGTCTCCTGCATGAGAAGAGGAGGGGGGGTGGACTAGAAGACCTTCAGGGTCCCTCCCAGCTCTCTTATTCTCTTATTTTTGAAATAGCTGATGACATCAGTGCCAAGTGAACCTAAAACACCAGGCTGTTTTACTTCGGGAACATCTTGTGTGATTGCGTTTGTGTGTGTGTTGCAATCGGATCTCGAGGCTCTCCAACGCAGGAATTTCAATGAAGAGGAGGATGACTTTAGGTAAATAAATTAACCAAAAGAAAAAAGAAAAAACCTGGCTCGCGCAAATTCGGAGGCCGCAGATTAAGTGCATCTCTTCATCTGATAAAGTGTGTTCTTTTTTTTTCCCATTAAGGGAAATTGGAGCTCTTCCAGACAGGGCCCTCCGTCAAATTCACTGGCTGTCAGTTCCTTTTTTGTGCATACACTTTAAAAGTTGGGGTTTTAAAAGGGAGACGGGCGACAACAGATTGTACAGGACGCTGTAAGAACATCCTTTTAAAAATATTTTCTGGACGGTTGTTGGCCAAGCAGATCAAGAGCCCTGGACAAAATCTGGACAGAGTTTGGCTGGACCAGACAGTAATGAGCTGGTGGTGAGAATGGTTAATTGGCTGCAGAATGAAACTTTCCGAGAAATGGAACCTGAATTGCAGAAATGATCTCACCGGTGGTGGGAAAACCAGATTTCTCTCTCCAGCCTTCAATTAATCCTCCCCAAGGCCCCCAGTTTGCACGCATGGACCTTCATCTAGGAATAATAATAATAATAATAATAATAATAACAACAACAACAACAAGAGAATAACAGAGTTGGAAGGGACCTTGTAGGTCATCCAGTCCAACCCCACCACCCAAACATTGGTTTAATTGGTTGTCCACTAAGGTTTGCCAACACCCTATCATCTAGGGTGTTGGCAGGCATAGCCAACACCCTAGAACAGGGGTCACTAACCTTTTGGACCTCAGGGACCACCAAACTCATAATTTTAGATCCCAGGGACCGCTAACTGGTTCTTTGGGTGTGGCCCAATTTGTGGGTGTGGCTTGGTGGTCATGTGACTGGCTGGGCATAGCTTGTATGTAAATATTATAAATATTTATATAAATATTGAATTTTTTATTTTTAAAAAAGAGCAACTTTTACCCAAAATGAGGCAAAGCAGGCAGGCAGATTGAGTTGCTCACAGAATCATTCAGTGATCTATCTATCTGCCATCGGCTAGCTCGGTCTCTCAAATTTGCTTGCCGTGAGTCTACACTGAATTTGCTTGCAAGCAAACCTTCAGTCCTAAGGGAAGCAGAACTGAAGATCTAAAGACTAGCTAGAAAGCAAGAAATCCAACCATTTCCTGCTTCCTAGCTAATCTAAATCTCCCAGACACAGCAGAATAGATGTTGGTCGGAAAAAGGAAAAATAGCAACTTAGCAGAAAATTTTGCTGGGTAAGGAGTGAGTGGGCGAGGAGGGTCCCCGCGCACCATGTGGGCTGCTCAGCCTTGTGTTTCTGTGCAGCCTGGATTAATTGTTTTGTGGGGGTGCTCTGGGGGTGAGATTTCTCTGCGGCCCACCAAAAATTTCTCACGGCCCACTGGTTGGCAACCGCTGCCCTAGAAGATAAGCTCAAGATCCAGATGGATCTTGACAGACTGGGCCGTATCTAACAAAATGAAATTCAACGTAGAGAAGAGTAAAGTCTTACACTTAGGCAAGAAAAACCCAAAAGTACACCTATAGACTGGGTGAAACCAGGCTCAATAGCAGGAACTGTGAGAGGGATCTTGGAGTCTTAGTGGACAACCAGCTAAATAGGAGCCAGCCGTGTGCAGCAGCAGCCAAAAAAGCCAACACAATCCTAAGTTGTATTAACAGAGGGATACAATCGAGATCAAGGGAGGTACTAAGACCACTCTATAAAGCCTTAGTAAGGCCACACCTAGAGTCCTGCATCCAGTTTTGGTCATCACACTATAAAAAGATGTTGAGACTCTAGAAAAAGTGCCGAGAAGAGCAACCAGGATGATGAGGGGACTGGAGGATGAAACATACAACGAACAGTTGCAGGAACTGGGCCTGGCTAGTCTAGGGAGGAGAAGGACCAGGGGAGACAGGAGAGCATCTTCCAATATTTGAGGGAGGGGGGTTGGACTAGATGATCTACAAGGTCCCTTCCAACTCTGTTAATCTGGCTTTAATCTGATTTTAATAAATAAAAGGACCAGGGGAGACAGGAGAGCAGCCTTCCGATATTTGAGGGGCTGCCCCAGAGAGGAGGAGGAAGGGGTCAAGCTATTTTCCAAAGCCCCCGAAGGCCAGACAAGGAACAATGGATGGAAACTGAACAAGGAGAGATTCAACCTGGAAATAAGGAGGAATTTTCTGACAGGGAGAACAATCCACCCATGGAACAGAAGTTGCCTTCGGAAGTTGTGGGAGCTTCATCCCTGGAGGCTTTCAAGAAGAGATTGGACTGCCCTCCGTCAGAAATGGTGTAGAGGCTCCTGCTTAGGCGGTGGGTTGGACTAGATGACCTACAAGGTCCCTTCTAAGTCTGTTATTCTATATTCAATGGAACAGAAGTTGCCTTCAGAAGTTGTGGGAGCTTCATCCCTGGAGGCTTTCAAGAAGAGATTGGATTGCCACTGGTTAGAAATGGTGTAGGGTCTCCTGCTCGGGTGGGGGGTTGGACTAGATGACTTACAAGGTCCCTTCCAACTCTGTTAATCTATTAATCTGAGTTTTCATCAGTCACCATGGGGATGCTGTAACTGTGACAGGAAAAGAGACATTGAAACTCCTCATGTTCAGTAAAGGAATGCTTATCAAATGGATTTAGTGTTCAAAGCCTGTGCCCGGGCACAGTTTACGATCAACAGCTGGCACCTGCTAAGAGTTAGATAAGGGCCAATGCAATTCAAGGGGAAGGTTGGACCGACTTCTTTTTATGACTACGTAGGGATGCTAGGATGATTCCTCTTCTGACTCCGCCCCCCACAAGATTGTGCCGTTCTTTCTCCCACATCTCCCAAGTGTAGGAAGAGGAAGCCTTGGGCCATGGGCGTGGTCAAAGAAGTAACCAGGGCAGCTCGTCAACCCCACCTGTTGTGGCCTGTTGGCCACCTGCCCCTCCAGCAGCCGAATCAGAGGAGGAGGAGGAGGAGGAGCGGTGGGAGTAACAGGGCAACCTGGGAACTCCAAGGGAGAAGAGGGAACGGAACTGGCAGAGAGAGAGAGAGACAGAGACAGAGAGGCAGAGAGAGACAGAGAGAGGGGCGGAGCCTGGGCCGTCCGTCAGCCCTCAGGTGGAGAGTCCACACACCCCAGGTCTGGAGGTGGCTGATGAGGAAGAGGAAGAACAGCTGGGTGCTGTGCCTGACATGCGGATGCGCAGGAGGCAGAGAGGAGAGGAGAGCAGTGGAAATCTATGGGCCGGTTCTTGGGAAGGAAGAGCCACGGCTGATAGCGAAGAACCCACCCTGACTCTGGGGGATCAAAGGCAGGTGGCAGAGATGACTCGATGTGGCAGAGAACTATTTATCTTCCGCTCAGGTGGACTTGTTAACCTCCAGTGAGAGAGAATTTTTTTGCCAGGTCTACCGGCGTTCCCCTAATAAAGGAATTTTTGAGTTATCTTCAAAGGGTTTGTTGTGTTTGCGGAACTGGGTCATAACGCGACTGTTGTAATGACGAGGCAGTCGAGGTGTTTGATCATGGTCAAACTGAATCATGATGAACTTTATTGGAGTCTAGTCTTGCATTTATACACGTTTTTAGTTATCCTCAGTCATTGGCTAACTTTGGTTATTGCTTAACTTTTGCTACTGTTTAGCATAGTAATTAATACAATTAATTATCTCTAGTTAAAGCCTAACACATGTTTACTTCCTCTTTCTAATCCTCCTTGAGATGACTGACTTTGTTTACCTGAGTTGTGTTTGCAGGCAAACATTCTTTATCTGAGGTTTGCCATCCGAGATTGGAACATTCCTGCAATTGCAACTCTACACACGATTTCTTTAAGAGGGGAGTTGGACCACCTGGTTGCAGCTCCCATCTCGAAGGAAAGCCCACCTATCCTAACCTCATACCCAGGGGATTCTACCGTTTCAGACCGGTTCTATAGAACTGGTGGTTACGATTCTGCGCATTTCGGAGAACCGGCAAATTTGTGCCCCTGGCTGGCCCCTCCCCTCTCCACCCTCCCTTCCCTGCCCCGCCCCGCCCGGTCAGTCCTTATCATGCATGCATGACATCGCTGACTGAATTCTCAGTCACTCCTTAAGGTATTTATTTATTTTTCCTCCCGACGATCAGCTGTTCCTATGATCAGCTGCTGTGCCGGGATCCCCCTCGCTGTCTCACTGCTTCACCCAGGAGGTTTCCCTGTGACCCAGGAGGCCAAAAAAAAGGGGGGGTTTTTGCAAAAATACCCCACCCCTAACCCATGCCTACCAAGATACACCCACCTAACCACGTCCGGTTAGGGTTAAACGGTTGTTCAAAAAATTTGAATCCCACAGGTGGCATTTTCCCCCGACAAGAATTGCAAGAATGTTCAAGAACATATCTGAAAAGTGTTGGAAATGTCATCGGATACCTGGCTCATACTACCGTATGTGGTGGACTTGCGAGGATGCTAGAAAATATAGGACTAAAATTCGCATCTGGTTGGAAAAAATGACAAAGACACATATAGACTTGAAACCAGAGATTTTTTAATTGGGAATCTTACCTGATATATATATAAAATAAAAATGTGAAGTATTTGATTGTAAATGTATTAACAGCGGCTAGGATTGTATTTGCTAAAAACTGGAAGAGTGAGAAAACTCCATCAGAGGAAGAAATTATTAAGAAAATATTGGATTGTGCTGAAATGAGTAAATTGACATTTGAAATTAGAGAACAAGAAGATAAACAATTTTATGAAGTTTGGGATCTTTTTTACCAATGGTTAGATAATAAAACATAATAATAGAACATTCAGATATAGCATATAAATTTTCTTTTTTTTTGATATTATCTTTATAAAACATTATCAAGATAGATTTGGTATGATCTTATGATTTATTGCAAAATAAATTAAGTAAACTATAGTTATCTCGTTAAAGTATGAATTAATAAAATTATAGATAAATGTTTTTTAGTGATGATATTAGGTTATACAATTATTGATTGACAATATGAGCTATTATGTAATATAATTATATTAGTGACTAGAAAATGGATGCACAAAAAAAAGTGGTAAACCTACCGATGCAGTTTGTAAATTTATGAAGAAGGATGATGTTTTTATGTTTTATGTGGTATGTCTATGTTGTTTTGTTGTTAAAATAAAAAACTTTTTTAAAAAATTTGAATCCCACCCCTGCTCTTACTTGATGCAACTGATATGGTTGATATAATCCTGGGTTGCTGTGGATTTAATCCTGGGTTGCTTATGTCTTCAGCCGGTCAGCTGGAGGAACCAGCCACGAGGTCCAGACTTCGAGAGAGGAAGAGATGGAAGAGAAGGATGAAGGCTTGTCTCGCAGGGCTGAAGTTTCTCCCCAACCCAAGGCCGACTCCACCACACCATCGCCGTCCAACTCCAGGACCCTGTTGTACCCCCAACGTTACGCCGATTCCAATGACTGCAGGAAGTATTTTGTAACAAGGGTGAGTCCATTTAGCCACCTTGCGGGGGTGGGGAAGGATCTTCATGGGGTGGCAAGGAGACCACGACGTGCCTGGTGGCTACATTTCTTTTCTTTTATTTGGTTTGTCAATTGCTTACAAGATAATAGGTATAAGTAAAAACATAGTTATGAATACATGGAAGAAAAATAAAAAGAAACCATAGGACAGGGACGGTAGGCACGTTGGTGCGCTTATGCACGCCCCCCACAGACCTCTTAGGAAAGGGGTGAGGTCAATAGCAGACAGTCTAAGGTTAAAGTTTTTGGGGTTTGGGGAAGAAACCACAGAGTCAGGTAGAATATTCCAGACATTGACCCCTCTGATGCTGAAGTCGTATTTCCTGCAATCAAGTTTGGTGCGGTTAACCTTGAGTTTGTATCTATTGTGTGCTCTTGTGTTGTTATGGTTGAAGCTGAAGTATTCATTGACAGGTAGGACATTGCAATGTATGATTTTATATACTATACTTAGATCGGACCGAAGGCGGCGTAATTCAAGGTTTTGTAGGTCTAGAATTTCAAGTCTGGTGGCATAAGGTCTTCTGCAACGAGTAGAGGAGTGGAGAACTCTTCTTGTGAAATATTTCTGGACTTTCTCAACTGTGTTAATATCAGATACGTAATGTGGGTTCCAGACTGATGGGCTGTATTCGAGTATTGGTCTAGCAAATGTTTTGTAAGCTCTAGTTAGTAGTGTGATATTACCAGAGAAAAAGCTACGTAGGATTAGGTTAACAATTCTTAACACCTTTTTGGCTATGTAGTTACAGTGGGCTCTAGCATTTAGATCATTAGAGATGAGCACTCCAAGGTCCTTGACAGAACTTGGATCATTAACAAGGTCTTGACTATTCAGCCTGTATTTTATTTTCTGATTTTTTTTGCCAATATGTAAGACAGAGCAGTTATTTGTTGAGATTTGAAGTTGCCATTTGTTTGACCATTCTGATACATAGTCAAGGTCTTTTTGAAGGGTAGCAGTATTGTCTGTAGTGTTGAATAGCTTTACATCATCAGCGAAAAGAACACAGTTGCTCTTGATATGATCACAGAGGTCCTTTATGTAGAGTATGAAGAGAGTTGGTCCTAGAACACTGCCTTGGGGGACACCACTGTTGACAGGTACAGAATTTGATAGGACTCTCCCAATTTTAAGCATTTGTTGTCTGTTTGACAGGAATGCTTCTATCCAGTAATGCAGGTGTCCAGAGATACCATAAGATTTTAGCTTTAGGAGTAGTTTGTTGTGTACCACTGAATCAAAGGCTTTACAGAAGTCTATGTAGATGGCGTCTATGGCTTTGCCCTGATCGAGTTGTGTCGTCCATATGTTTTTGCAGTGTAAGAGTTGCAGATTACAGGATAGTTTTTTTCCTGAAACTAAATTGTTTATTGTTCTTGAGCAAGCACCCAAGATCTGGCTAGGATCAGGAAGCGACAGGAATTAGGTCTGAAAACAAAATGTGTTAAGACCACTTTGTAAGGCTTTGGTAAGACCAGACTTAGAATATTTGCATCCAGTTTTGATCGCCACGATGTAAAAAGATGTTGAGACTGTAGAAAGAACGCAGAGAAGAGCAAGAAAGAGGATAACAGATAACAGATAATCAGAGTTGGACCTTGTAGGTCATCTATTAGGGGATTAGAGGCTCTAAAACATATGAAGAACGGCTGCAGGAATGGGTATGTCTAGTGTAGTGAAAAGAAGGACTAGGGGTGACATAATAGCAGTATTCCAGTATTTAAGGGGCTGTCTCAAAGAAGAGGGAGTCAAGCTATTCTCCAAAGCACCAAAGAAGGCAGGACACGAAGGATGGAAACTCATCCAGGAGAGAAGCAACCTAGAACCAAGGAGGAATTTCCTAATAGGAACTGGGCCTGGCTAGTCTAGGGAAGAGAAAGACCAGGGGAGACAGGAGAGCATCTTCCAATATTGGAGGGGCTGCCACAATGAGGAGGAGGAAGGGGTCAAGCTATTCTGCAAAGCATCTGAGGTCCAGGCGAAGAACAACAGATGGAAACTGATGAAGGAGAGATTCAATTTAGAAATAAGGAGAAACTTTCTGACAGGGAGAACAATCCACCCAGGGAACAGAAGTTGCCCTCGGAAGTTGTGGGAGCTTCATCCCTGGAGGCTTTCAAGAAGAGATTGGGCTGCCATCGGTCAGAAATAGTGTAAGGTCTCCTGCTTTGGTGGAGGGTTGGACTAGATGACCTACAATATCCCTGCCAACTCTGTTAATCTGACTTTAATGAACAAAAGGACCAGGGGAGACAGGAGAGCATCTTCCAATATTTGAGGGTGGGGGGTTGGACTAGATGATCTACAAGGTCCCTTCCAACTCTGTTAAACTGACTTTAATCTGATTTTAATGAATAAAAGGACCAGGGGAGACAGGAGAGCAGCCTTCCAATAGTTGAGGGGCTGCCCCAGAGAGGAGGAAGGGGGTCAAGCTATTCTCCAAGGCCAGACAAGGAATAATGGATGGAAACTGAACCAGGAGAGATTCAACCTGGAAGCAAGGAGGAATTTTCTGACAGTGAAGACAATTAACCAATGGAACTGCTTGCCACCAGAAGCTGCGGTTACTCTATTACTGGAGCTTTTAAGCAGAGATTGGATAACCATTTGTTTGGAAGGGTAGCTCTTGCCATGGGCAGGTGTTTGAAGACCGCCAACCAACCCTATTATTCTATGTTTTAAGCCAAGTAAGAGATTTATTCTTCAAGGGGGCAAATCAAAGGGTGTGCTATACTGCAACCATCTCCGTCCCAGTTATCTACACACAGAGCCTGTCAACGCATAGAGAGTGGGATCATATCCCACCAGAAAGAGTTTACTACTGCTATTTGTAAATTTATCTCTTGTCCAAGTTGAGAAGAGCAGGAATGGCGTGTCCATCATGGACTCTTGGCTTCTCTCAGGGATGGGATTCCAATTTTTTAACAACTGGTTCTGTGGGCCTGGCTAGGTAGGTGTGGCTAGGTAGGTGTGACTGAGTGGGTGTGGTTTCTTTTCTTATTTTGCAATACACACACACACACACACACTATTTTTTTTGGCAAGTAAGTAAGTAGTACTTGAAGCAGTAAGACAACGAGAGGGATCCCAGCATAGCTGATCATTGGAACAGCTGATCGTTGGGAGGAAAAAAAGAAATACCTGAAGGAGTGACTGGGTTAGGTGTGCATGGGTAGGTGGGCGTGGCCATGTGACTGGGTGGGTGTGGCTTCTTTTTTTGTTTTTGCACCTTTTTGGGGGGGGCATCCTGGGCCTCGGGGAAGCCCCCTGGGCAAAGCAGTAGGATAGCGAGAGGGATCCCAGCATAGCTGATCATTGGAACAGCTGATCGTTGGGAGGAAAAAAGAGAAATACCTGAAGGAGTGACTGGGTTAGGTGTGCATGGGTAGGTGGGCGTGGCCATGTGACTGGGTGGGTGTGGCTTCTTTTTTTGTTTTTGCAGCAACCCCCCCACATTTTTGGGGGCGGCCTCCTGGGCCTCGGGGAAGCCTCCTGGGCGAAGCAGTAGGATAGCGAGAGGGATCCCAGCCTAGCTGATCATTGGAACAGCTGATCGTTGGGAGGAAAAAAAAAGAGATAGCTTAAGGAGTGAGTAGGTGGGGGAGAACGCAGTCAGCGATGTCACGCAGGCGGGATAAGGATTTGCCGGTTCGCCGAACCACAGAGAATCATAACAACCGGTTCTATAGAACTGGTCCGAACCGGTAGCATCCCACCCCTGGCTTCTCTCCTCATCAGTGAGAAACCAGCCCCTTTCGCCAGAGACCGAAGCCTGGAGAGTCAACTTTTCTCCTCGGTGATGTTCACTCCTCCACGGCAGGTGGCTAGAGACAGGTGGGAACACCTGGGAGGCTGGAGGGACAGCGGAGGGGACGTAGGAGGGATCCAAAATGACATTGTGGCCTTGACCATCTCTCTCTTCCTCCTCTCCGTTTCAGCCAGGAGCGTTCGAGCAAGCCATGGAGGACCTCAAGGTTTATCTGTCAGCCAACAAGGGAGAAGCGGCCCATAGCTTCTGGCTCCTCACCGAGTAAGCTCTACGCAGGTCTTGTAGTTATTTGTGCTTCTCTGCAACCACACACTTGTTCACGCCCCGTGCAGGTGGGCCTCATGTGACGGCCATAAGTGGCAATGATGGACATAATTCATGACAGAGGTAAAGGATAAACCCAAGATCATTTGGTGACCTTTTCTGCAAGGGTTGTAAAATGAATCCAGTCCACTCGTTGCTACAGGCCAATTTTTGGCAGAAGTTAGCAATAGCCCTTAAGACTTATATACCGCTTCATGGGGCTTTGACAGCCCCTCTCTTCAGCGGTTTACAGAGTCAGCCTCTTGTCCCCCAGCAATCTGGGTCCTCATTTTATCCACCGCGGAAGGACGGAAGGCTATGTCAGCCTTGAGCCTGGTGGGATTTGAACTGCCAAATTGCAGGCAGCTGGCAGGCAGCCGAAGTAGCCTGCAGTACTGCACTCTGACCACTGCATATCAAGGAAGGAAGGAAGGAAGGAAGGAAGGAAGGAAGGAAGGAAGGAAGGAAGGAAGGAAGGA